TGAAACACAACCACCCAAATTAATCATTTCATCTTCCAGCAGCCGTAACATCAACACTTGGGACGGAGCTTAAAGCCCGAATTAAACCGTCCCTGCTGGAAGAGCCCCGCGGCCCCTTGGCACGGCCCCAGGGGGCTGCTTTGGGATGGGGGGCGGCTCTGGTGCCCTGGGTGTCCCCAAAGGCCAATTTGGTGCCGTCTGGTGGCACACGGGCCGCGGGCTCTGTGCCCAGGCTGGGAGATGGCCGGGCTGGTTGGGATGCCAGAGGAAATGGGGACAGCATGGCTGGGAGCCCCTCTCCCCTTTCCCAGGAGGATGGAGAGCCCCGGGGTCCTTCGGGGGTTCCCAGCCCGCGTTCCCGAGCTGCTCCACAGCTGGAAAGGGGAAGGATTTGGGGCAGCCCTGGTGGCCTGACTTCCTCCCGGCAGGGGTGACCTGCCCGGCCCGCTGGCCTGGGCTCATTGTGCCCTTCAGCAAGAGGGACAGAAAAAAGGACAAACTTCTGGATTGCAAATCCCGGCCCCAAACCCTGCCCGCGCTGGGCTCCCACCAGGGGCCCCATTTGGGGTGGCCATGTCCATTCGTGTGGCAGTGGCAGTGGTGACAGGACAGGACAGGACAGGACAGGACAGGAGGATTTGCCTCGGGCACACGGCTGGGGTGTTATGATCAAGACAGCCTGGCTGGGACACTTGGCTTGAGCTAAGTACTGACATTGAAATGTTAATTAGCTAATTGCTCCTGGGAATCACCTACTGCCCCACCCTCACTACCATTCTAGGACTGGGATGCAAAATAGGGAGACCAGTGAAATCATGGGAGGGGGTTTTGGGGATGAAAACACCCCTAACTGGAAGGCTGGGCACAGTGGAGGGGGCTGGATGGGTGTGCTGGTTGGGGAAAAGGGAACCCCATCCTTAGTCTCTGTTTGACCTGTCACCCATAACCTGCAGAGGACCAGACTGGACTGGGCTGTGGAAAGCAGGCACAAGGAATCAGACGCTCTACCTGGTGTTACCAGGAGGGAAGGAGAGGGATAGCTGCTGCTGGATCTCGGCAACAGGCTCTGCACATCCCCCCACCCTTTGGCTACCAGTGTGCCAGGAGGAAAGGAGAGAGGACGGTCTGCTGATTGGGACTGCAGATACAGACTGGACACCTCTTCACCTCCAGCTACCAGGGTGCCACAGAGCCTCCAGGGACAGACTCTGCATGCCTTCTCCCCCTTCGGCTGCTGGGGAAGCTACAACAGCGGGGGCGAGCTCCGTGTCAAGCCACCTGACCAGCTGATCTTTTCAATAAGAAACTGAACATTAATAAAGGCATAGACCCTGCTCATTTCAGCGGGGACCGGCGGTTGTGTCCCCGCCGCGGCCCCGGGGAATGTCCCCAGAGGCTGCCCCGGCCTTGCCACCGATCTCGCCGCGATTCGGGGTCACTCAGCCGCTCCAAAGCAAAGTCACTGAGGAGACTCCTCCTGCAGGTGACAAACGCTCATTTGGGCAGGGCTGGGATCACCGATTGTGCCGCCTCCATCCCACAGGGATGTGCCCGATGGGGTCCCTGCCCCGTGCCCTCGCCTCTGCCTGGGCTTATCCTCCCTGGAAGGAGAAAGTCTGGGAAGGGGAATTCTGAGGAAGAGGAGCCCTCGGTGGCTGGGTGACAGCTTGGGGACGACGACGATCAAAGCACCGGCAGCTTGAGACCTCCTGGAAAGGGAAAGGGGATTTTTTTGTAGTTATGGTTCAAAATGAGGAGCTTAAACCCATTCACAGTTCCAGACACAGAGAGCATCCCCAGAGGTGTGTCTTGAGTGCCTGAATGTGACAGCATGATGGTGGACAGCCCAGGGGACAGCAGCTCCCACTCACCCCACAGCCAGGGTTTGTCCCCATGTGCAGTGACAAGCTGGTCTGGGACTGGTTTTGGGAGGCCCTGGGAGGCAGCAGGGTTGGGGGGATGTGTTGCCTCACCTTCAGTGTTTCTTCATCTCCCCCGAGGCTTGGGCAAGGCTGCTGATCCTGCCGGGGTTTCCTCACTTTGGGAATCTCTCTGGCCCCACTTGGTCTCCCGGGAAGGGAAGTGGCACAAGGGATGTGCTGTCACCTCCAGGCCACTCAGGGCTCGGTTCCTGCCCTCCCCGGTGCCCCCATGCCCCGCCTCTGCTCCGTTGTTGCCAGAGTTGGGAGATGCCCCACAGAGAGGGGCTGGAACCCACTGATCCCATCCCAGGAGCTGCAGCAGCACCACACAGCCCAAGGGGTGGCAGAGGGTCCCTGTCCCTCCTGGTCCCCAGGACCTCATCCCAAGGCCTTGGTCCTGACAAGGAAAATTCCTGGTCCAAAGCTCCTGGGACTCAGCCTGTGCCTGAGCAGGGTCAGGGCTGGGATCCTGGAGATCCTGGTAGGGGGGAGTTTTTGAGGGTTCCCAGAAGAAATCCCAGAGCTGCTGTAAAAGAAGAGCTCCAGAGCTTCCAATGGCAGCAAATCCTCTGCTGGGCACCCTCAGGGTGCCCTTGGCACTGGGTGGCTTTTCCAGGGAACAGCAGGATCTGTCCTCATCAGAGCTGGAGAATCCTCTGATCCCTCCTGGGTTTTCCCAGTGGATGTTTCGTGTGTCCCCCCTGACACTCTGAGGCGGGAACACAAACCAGTCCAAGGCTGTCACTGTCACCTCTGCCAGTGTGGGTGAGTCACATGAGGGGGACAGCAGAGGTGGCACCTCCAGCTGGGGCATCATTCCCACCTGGGGAAGGTGACCTGGGGACAGCACAGCCACAGCTGCCTTTGTCCCCATCCCACCTGGACACTGGCACGTCCCTGTGCCCAGGCTCTGCTTTCCTGGCCAGCTCCTGCCCTGCCACTCAGGTTCCCTTGCCATGGCTCCTCCTGCTCCTTCGAAGGGCCAGGAGTGCTCCTGTTCCTGCCCTGGGGCTCCCCACCCAAGCGGCAGCCCTAATTCCGAGACCCTGGCCTTTGAACGGGTGTAGGAGCTGGGCTGAGGGGATGTTCTGGGGGACTTGAAAAGGGACAGGGGACAGGATGGGGCCAGGCACAGCCCAGAGCTGAGTCCGGCCTGAGCTCTGCCCTGCGGCATCACACACTTGGGACCAACCTTGCTTGTGTTTGCTTTGGCTCAAGAAATCTTCCCAAATTCCCTGCCCCCCTCCTCCTCCTCCTCTTCCTCCTCCTCCTCCTCCTCCTCCTCCCCCTCTTCCTCCTCCTCCCCCTCCCCCTCCCCCTCCTCCTCCTCCTCCTCCCCTCTGTCAGTAATGTCCCCCCAGAGGGGCTCAGGCTGCCATGGGGGGTCTGAGGACATTCCGAGCAGGTCCCGGTCACCCCTCATGTCCCAGCCCTGGACTCCTCACCCCCATCCCGGTGCTTGAATCCCTCCTAAGGGGAGATAAGATCGGGATCAGCCAAGTCAGGCTCTGCCAAAACGGGCAGGAAGCAGCACAGCAATTAAATGGCAAATAATGGGAATTTAGGATTATAACAAAAGGCAGAAAAGCAATCCAGGGGGGTCGGAAACATTAGGAACACAGAGAAAAACCCAATCAAGCAGAAAATAGCCCAGACTGGAGCCAAGGGCTGTGAGCTGAGGTGGCTGCGCTCGGGCTCGAGGGGGGGATTTGGGGGCTGGGGGGAGGATTTGGGATGTTCTGGGGCAGAACGAGAGTTTTGGGAGAGATTTGCTCCCGAGCAGAGCTGACCGCGGGCTGAAACCCTGGGAAAATCTCCCAGGTCAACTCTGGGGCACGGCAGATCTGGGATGTGATATCCATGGAAATCCAGGGAGCGGCCTGAGGCTGGGGGTGGCAGGGGCTGGGGTCTGTGGGGGCACAGGGTGCATTTTGCTGGAATTCAGTGTTTCCTGCAGACTCCCCTTTCCCAGGATTGCCTGGGACGAGGGGACACGCTGAGCTCCCTGCCAGGAGCTGCTGCGCTCGGCTGGGCACAAACCCCCTCGGCAGCAGCCTGGGAAGGACCCACGCCGGGGCTCTCTGGGGCTCCCGAGCACTGCCGAGGCTTTGGGGGCTTCTGTGGTTCCACCCCCAATTTTGGGGAGGCTTTTGGAGGTCTCTGGGGTTCCTATCCAAATTTTAGGGAAGATGTTTTGTGCCTGTCCCCAGTTTTGGGCAGATTTTGGGGGCGTTCTGTGGTTCTCATCCAGTTTTGGGGGAGGTTGCTGAAGGTCGCATCCCAAATTTTGGGAAGGCTCCGGCAGCAGCCTGGAGCCAGGCTCTGCTGCCAGCACTTCCTGCTCATTCCCGTGGTCACTGCATCCCTGGGACACAGCCCCGGGGAGCTGGCACGGTGACAAGGACACCCCGGGACCCCAGGTGGCACCGAGGCTGTGACATCCTGGGGAGCAGCCCTGGGGTTGGGTGATATCCCGGGGACCATCCCAAATTTTGGGGAGACTTTTGGGGGTTTCTAGGAGTCCCATCCTCTAGTACTAGGGGAGATATTTAAGGATCCCATCCCAAATTTTACAGGGGTTTCTGGGGGTCCCATCCCCAATTTTGGGGAGACTTTGGGTGCCCCATCCCTAATTTTGGGGAGACTTTGGGCGCCCCATCCCCAATTTTAGGGAGATTTTGAGGAGGTTTCTGTGGTTCCCAACCCCAATTCTAGCTGAGAATTTTGGAGGTCTCTGGGGTTGCCACCCAAATCTTAGGGGAGACTTTGGGGGTCCCATCCCTAGCTTTCATAGTCTGCATTAATCCAGTGTCCCTCCCACTCCCTGCCGAGGCTCAGATGCCATTAGCCGCTCCTTCACCCCTCACCGCGGCTCAGGGTCGGGGGCAGGGCCAGCCCCGCGGGGACACACGGACAGCCCAGGCCGGCAGCCCCGGGGCCTTTCCCGGGGATTTGCTGCCGGGAGGAGCAGCCCGGGCACATTCCTGGCGCGGAGCCTCCCTCCGGGCAGGGTTTGTTTCCCCGGGAGCCCTGGAGACGATCCCGGGATCGCAGCTCCGCTCCCCTCGCACCGGAGCCATGCGGGGGGGCGCGGCCGGGGACCCCCGCGGGCTCTGGGGGGTCCCCCCGGCAGGGACCCCCTTTGTCCCACCCAGGGTGAGCCCCGGAGCGCTTCTGCCTCTGCACGGATGGGATAAGGGTGGAGATGGGAGAGGGGCTGGGCTCGGGGGCGCCCGAAGGGTGGGGGTTCGCAAGCGCCCTGCAGAGCCCGAATGCCACCCGTGCCAGGGACCTGTCCCCAGAGCGGGGGGACTCTCCAGGTCTGGAAGTCACTCAGGACGGGAGGGCGGTGTCCCTGGAAAAACCAGGGGAGAGCGACCATTCCCTCCTCCGGGGCTCTCGTCCTGCTCCCCTCGGGCCACAACCCCCCCGGCCACCAGCCCTGTCCCTTCTGTCCCTGCAGCACCTCCCGTCCCCTCTGTCCTGCCGCCAGCCCCGTCCCCTCTGTCCTGCCACCAGCCCCGTCCCCTGTGTCCTGCCACCAGCCCGGTCCCCTCTCCTCCCCGCCACCATCACTATCCCCCTCCCGCCTGTCCCCGGCCGTGTCCCCTCTGTCCCCTCGTGCCCCATGCCAGGACTGGATTGACCCTGAATGTGCAATCCCGGCTTCTCGTTCTCCTGCTGCCTCCCAGCCCCGCGCCGTGGGATCGCCGCCGGTGCTGGTACTGCAGCCGCTGCCCGGGCCCGGGGCCGCCCCCCCGGGACCCCCGCCCGTCCGGGGAGGTGCGTGCGGGCAGAGCTGCGGGGGCAGCGCCGAACCCGGCTGGGCTGCCCCGCTCCTCCCCGGCCTTTGCCAGGGTGAGAGGCAGCGGGGCTGAGCCGCCCCCGGCAATGTCCATCCCGCCCTTGGATGGACGTTCAGCCCCACGGGGCGCGAATTTTGGGGGTTTTACCAAGTCTGGGAACAGTTTGGGGTTTTTTGTGGGTTTTTTTTGTTTTGTTTTGTTTTGTTTTTGTTTGTTTGTTTATCTGGTTGGTTGGGTTGGGTTTTTTATTTCCCTAAATTCACCTGTTTTTGTTCTCCAAAACCCCATTTCCTGCTGGCATCCCCAGGGAGCGCCGGGGCTCGACAGGCTCCTTGAACTGCAAGGTGGGATGGAGTGGCACTGGAACCCTGGGCTGTGCCACTGCCCGGAGCGACTGCACCCACCCTGGTGCCCCCAGGCTGCAGCCTGGGCTGGGGGGCTGGCAGCAGGGCCAGGGGCTGTGGTGACCAGGGACAAAGAGCTGTCACCACTGGGGACACACCACGGGCAAAGTCCCTTTTGCTGTGGGGAGGGGCAAGGTGGAGCTGCCCTTACAAATCCAGGGAGGAAAAAGGATGCTGCAAATCGGTGTGGAAAGAACAGAGAGAGCCAGGCTGGCCCCTGTGGGATGGGGGATCCACTCGGAGCTGCCAGCAGCCCTGGGGCACTCCCTGCCCCCACAGCAGAGTCCCAGGAGGGGCCGGGAGGGACAGCCACCTCCTGGTGTCCTGGCAGCTCTGGAGCCTTTGGGCATCTGACACATGGGCTATGGGACGGTGCAAAACCTTCTTTACTCCAGGGCATGGAACCAGGGAATCCCAGAATGGTTTGGACTGGGTGGGACTGTAAGGATCACCCAGTGCCACCCCTGCCATGGCAGGGACACCTCCCACTGCCCCAGGGGACTCCAAGCCCAGTGTCCAACCTGGCCTTGGGCATTTCCAGGGATCCAGGGGCAGCCACAGCTGCTCTGGGTGGATGAAGCCATTAGGATTTCAGGGGAATCCAGCAGGTTTATAAGAATCTTCTATGGGAATTTCACACCTGCAGGAAGTTTTTTGGGGGTGCAGAGCCAGATTTGGGGTTTCCTCTGTGTGCATGGGCCTCAGCAGCCACCCTCAGTGTGTCCTCCAGCCAAGGGGACAGGGACACTGCCCTGGGCCCAGCTGCTCAGGCAGGAGCTGAGGAGGCACTGAGCATCCCCACCCTGCTCCTCACCCAGATCCAGCTCCCAGGAGTGGGGTTGGGACCCTGGGCTCACCCCCAGCTCCTGCCCCTCGGGGGCTCTGAGCCCCGTGTACACAGCAGGGCTGACCCTGGCGTGCCCTGAACGCTGCCCCTGCCAGCTGCTGCCAGGGCAGCTGCTGCCCAAAGCCCTGAGCACATCCAGGGTTGGAGAAATTCTCCCCAGAATGGGAGGAAATTCTGGTGCCTCCAGCCCCAGTAATCACCCCTCGTGAGGCAGCCCAGATGTTTGAAAGGAAGAAAAGGCTCAAATATGGTAATTTTCAAGCCTTATCCAAGCAAAATCATTTTTAAACGCCACATGAGGCTTCCAAACCGGGGTGGGGGAAGTCTGGCGTTGCTCCCACTGCTTGGGAACAGGGAGGAGCCATGGGGCCGCCCCATCCCAGGCACCCATCCCAGGCTCTGCTCCTCCTGCCCTCCATCTGCTCTCTCTCTGATGCAGAATCTCCAATTCTCCAGCAGATTTGATGGAGCTGATGCTGATTCAAACCTCCCAAATGCACCAGCTGTTGATGCATGGCCTGGCCGTGGCAGCTCTGACGCCCCTCGGTGCGGGGCCAGCCCCAGCCCCCGCCCAGGTGGGGCTCGCGGGGTCTGGGTGGGCAAAGGGGCCGAAGAAGGGGCAGAGGGAGGTGCCCAGGGCTCCTCGGGATCACCCCGTGCTGCTGGGGCCCCTCTGCCAGCGGCGCCTGGTGGTCTCAGCCCAGCTCAGAGCAGCCCTTTGGGGTTTTGGGGCTTGGTTTGGGCCCCAGCTCTGACAGCTCAGACCCCAGCCCGGCCTTGGGCAGAGGTTCAGCCCAGCTGGGGAGAGCCGGGAGCCTCTGGAAGCGCAGCCCAACCCAGCAGGGAGGCTCTGCAGGGGCTGCCATTTAAAAATCCATCTCCAACCAAAACCGTATCAAACATTTCATCTCCCTGGGGGGAACAATGCAGCTTTTGGGACAGGGCTGGGCTCTGGCAGCTGCTGAGCTCGCGGCCAGCTGGCAGCTCCTGGCACTCACCCCCCCTCCCAGTGCCACCAGTGCGGGGCCAGCCAGGACTGGACCCTGCCTGCTCAAACGGCTCTCAGACAGATCAAAGGGCTCTTCCCACGGGGATTCGGTGCCATCTGTGGGGCTGCCACCCCGCCGTGTCCCCGGCAGCCGCGTTCCCACGGCGTTGTGTGGGACGGAGCCCACCCAGCGGAGCGGCCAGGGCGATCCCGGCAAACGGCGCTTTGGGAGCCCCCAGCCCAGCCCTGCCTGCGTCCCCCCCGCAGGCGCTGGCGGGGCCTTCGCAGGGCGAGGAGGAAGAGGAGGCCATGGTTTTCCACCATCACTACATCCCCTGGCCCGCGCCCGGCCCAGCGCCCGTGCGGTTCCTGCACTCCTCACCTGGGGACGGGCGGTGAGTGCCGGGCTGGGGCTCGGTGCCACCCCGGTGTGGCAGCACCTCCAGGGGACACCATCCATCTGGCACTGACCTGTCCTCGCCCCTCTCCAGCAGAGCTGTGCCCCCGCCGCCGCCCCCCAGTGCCACCGGGACAGTGGGACCCGGCGTTCCCCCAGCAGCGGGTAAGGACAGCCTGGGGACATTGTCCCCACGGGCCCCGACTGGAGCAGCTTTCCTCAAGCTTCCATCACCCCGGGCTGAGCTTCCTGCTCCCTGTCTCCATCCCACCCCACCCCACCCCATCCCATCCCATCCCATCCCATCCCATCCCATCCCATCCCA